TACGGGCCTTTGTTTCCCAAATCCGTGTCTAAGGATGGGAAAATACTGACTACATGTTAATAAGTTTGTTAAGGGGCCGAGTTTATCTTCCATAGATGTAATGTGTAAAAATGTCCCCTATTTTCGGTGAATACATTTGGATACAGTTTTTGATTTCTTATGGATACTCTAAAGGCTAAGGCAGTGAAAACACTGAAGCGCAGTCAGTCAATGAATTAGTGTAAACGTAGGTTGACGTACGTAGCAGCATATCAAATTTACCCTGGCATTCAGTAAGCGGTCTCTAGTCACTAATAGTGACTTTTGGTGGTGAACTTAGATTTTGAGACTATTTGGTATTCAGTACGCTGTCTCACGTCTCTAGTCTCAAAAATAAGTCACTAATTTGTCAGCTGGCTAAGAGCAGGTCACAAAAATAGAAGTATGGAGGAAAAGCTTATTTCTTTCCATTTTATTTAAAAAAAAACGCGAAAATGAAGCGAGGAAATTTGTTCAACAAGAATTTCATTAGGAAATAAACCAAATTGCTTTAATATCACACAAATGTATTGAAAATAAAATTATTTTTTTTGTTTTTTAAACATTAAAATCTAAAGATTGTTAAAAAAAATAAAACGAATAAAAAAATTAAAAAAATACTAAATAAAAAAAAAAAATCCTCTACGCCCGACGAGGACTTGAACCCGGACCCTCTCGGCTGCCAGCCTAATGCTTTGACCACTCGGCCATTACGACTCTTTGAGCGGTGCGGGCAAAAGGCATACATAGGCGCTATCGGTTGATTGTCTGTGTTTGCTTTCACCACACATTTTTGGTGAACTTTTTGTGACTCTCTCCTTCTGAATACCCAAATCGCCTCAAGTCACAAAAATAGTCACTCATTGCTTATCTCAAATTTAGTAACTTGAGATGAGACTGAATTACTGAATCCCAGGGTAACTGTTGATAGAGAGAGAGAAGCTACGGCAACGTCACCGGTATGCGGTGGTGAGTTTTCGTTAGCACCCGAATCCCATAAGATAGATCGTGCCTGCGTCAACCTACGTCTACGCTACGTCGTTGACTGTTTGAGCTTTTATCGAGCAAAGCATTGGCTCCATCTGGGTAGCACCCCATCCAAGCATTTAGGAAAAAAAATGTATGGAATCGATTGGTTATCGATTGGTCAGGATTGGTCACTCATTTTCATCGTTTGGTCATTAGCCGATTTTTTTTTATTGAATTTTCAAAATAGGGGTGGAAAATTTTATGTGCTGGCACCCCATGCAAGCATTTACGAGAAAAAAATATATGCAAGCAATCGATTGGTCAGGATTGGTCACTTATTTTTATAGTTTGGTCATTAGCCTATCTTTAATTGAATTTTCGAAATAGGGGTTAAAAATTGTATGTGCTAACACCCCATCCAAGCATTTACGAGTGAAAATATTTGCAATCGATTAGTCAGGATTGGTCACTTATTTTGATCGTTTGGTCATTAGCCCTTTGTTTTTAATTGAATTTTCAAAATTGGGGGTTGAAAATTGTATGTGCTAGCAAACCCATCCCAGCATTTACGACAAAAATATATATAATCGATTGGTCGTCGATTTGTTAGGATTGGTCACTTAATTTCATCGTTATATTTATCGATTTTGTCATCGATTTTGTTATTGGTATTTTTATTGATTTTGTTATCGATATTATTTATCCATTTTGTTACCGATATTTTTATCGATTATTTATCGATTTTAATATCGATATTATTTATCGATTGTGTTATCGATATTATTTATCGATTTTGTTATCGATATTATTTATCGATATTGTTCGATATTTTTATCGATTTTAGAACCGATTTTATTGTCGATATTATTTATCGATTTTGTTATCGATATTATTTTTCGATCCAAGCATTTACGAGAAAAATATATATGCAATCGTCGTCTATTGGTCAGGAAATTTCAAAATAAGGGTTGAAAATTGTGTGTGCTATGTGCATATGTATTTATGTGGAAGGGATATACATTTTTCGATTTTTACGATCCCAGGACTTTTGGGATCTAGTTATTACAATCCTGGGTCATGGAATTAATCCCGGAAGTTAGATATTCATTATTTTGCTACGACTTAACTCGAAAAAAATTGCATCAATATTGTTTGAGAAACTCTCTCACCATTTAATAAATAATACATAAACGGGTTTTAAATTTTTTTTTTATATATTTTATTTAGTTTTTATATATTGATAAAATACTGATATTGATACATACAAAATATCAACAACAAAATCGATAAAAATATCAATAACAAAATCGATAAAAAATCTATACTAAAATCGATAACAAAATCGATAAAACTATCGATAACAAAATTGATAAAAATATCGATAACAAAATCGATACTAACATCGATGAAAATATTGATAACAAAATCGATAAATAATATCGATAACAAAATCAATAAAAATATCAATAATAAAATCGATAAAAATTCCGATAACAAAATCGGTAAATATTACGATGAAAATAAGTGACCAATCCTAACAAATCGACGACCAATCGATTCCATATATTTTTTTCTCGTAAATGCTTGGATAGGGTGCTAGCACATACAATTTTCAACCCCCAATTTTGAAAATTCAATTTAAAAAAAAACGGCTAATGACCAAACGATGAAAATAAGTGACCAATCCTGACCAATCGATTGCATATATTTTTTCTCGTAAATGCTGGGATGGGTTGCTAGCACATACAATTTTCAACCCCCAATTTTGAAAATTCAATAAAAAAAAACGGCTAATGAACAACCGATGAAAATAAATGACCAATCGATGGCCAATCGATTGCATACATTTATTTTTCGTAAATGCTTGGACGGGGTGCTACCCAGATGGAGCCCAAAGCAACGCCCGCTGGGGAGCCCTAGCGCTCCGCGGCTATGTTGCTTACTGCGAGACTTTTTCAAGTTGCGGGAATTCGTCTTGCACGATCCCAAGCCACTGCTGGTTACATAGCTGGTGTCTATTCGGGAGTCTGGATTGCCGGCTAAAAATCCTTTATGTTTTATATTTAATAGAAACAGTCAACTGGTCGCTTGTATGGTACGCGGAGTAATGGCGCTAATTTTATGTTTCATTTGCTATCTTGTAGTTGCTTACATATGTACACAGGGCTGGATTCTTATATCGTAAATTCTTAATTATTAATCGTACTAGATTAGCTTTAAGGCGTATTCATATAAGGTGGTGTATAGTAATTTTGTAGGGTTGCAAATTGTATGCTTTTAGCGCATTACATCACCCTCCTTTGGAAAAGGAAGAATTTGGCAAAGTGATCAGTTTCGCCATATTTTCCTTTCCCATAATTTATAATCAGAATGAAATTGTTTTGAAGGAACGAATTTGGATTTGCTTGAGCAATATTCCTCCGCCTTACATTCGTTCATTCATAACAATTTAAGTTATGCTAAATATTTAAATAAAAGCCTGTTGTAATTACTTAATTATTATTACTTATTTTATTTATATATTCAACAATTTATATTGAGCTCGAGGCCGTTTTAAATAAAAATTTTAATGTGGAAAAGCAACAATAATTTGAAAAAATGGTAGAAGTGATAGCTATTTCGGAAATCACCACATTTCCTCATCAGACTTCTTTTTTGCTTTTTTCCACTATTTTCATTTTTGTTATGCCAACACAATCAAGCGCAGCTATTCCGCTGCAATTCACTTGATCATGTGGTTGTTGGTATTTTTTGGTTTTTGCTAATAATTCTATTTTTAGAATGTTTAACTTTATAAAGGCCAAAAAATAACAAAAACAAATAACTTAAGGACGAGCACACCTAAAAGTTAAACATTCTAAAAATAGAATTATTAGCAAAAACCAACAATACCAACAACCACATTATTAAATTTGCACTCAATTCTCTTTATTCAATATTTACATTAACTTATTACCTAATTACAAATGCGCTAATTACAAATGCGCTGTAAGAATATTTAAATGTACAGCGGCTGGCGAATGCCGGCACGGTTCAACCAAGACTGGTGCTACAACTCTCCTTGATCATAACATAGTCATGATCACTCAAACATTCGTTAAGTTGAAAGCTCTTAACAGTTGTGCCATAAGCTTGCATATTTAACACCCCTTAACGCATAGCATAGAACCCCGGTGGCTTCCTGGCCCTCATTGGAAAATCCCGCGCGGGTGACGGTGATGGGCTTGCTTCCATTGGAGCTGGCGACCGAAGCACTAAAGGAGGTGAATTCTCAGTCATCGGCGAAGCTTTTCCTGCCGGGATAGTTGAAACGGGTGACTCTGATTCAGCAGAAAGATCGTCGTTTGCGTTCTCCTCTTTGCTTTCCGATATCTCTATGTAATGATCGGAAGAGACCAAGCGAGGACGAATTTGATCTAGATGTCGCTTGATTGTTCTTCCATCTTCGAGTCTAACAGTATACGATATGGGCCCAGTTCGTGATTCAATTGTTGCTTGTTTCCAAAAGGGCCCGGATGCATAATTACGAATCCATACAGGATCATCCTTGGAAAACGTCTTGACCTTCGAGATGTGGTTATCGGTTTGTGCGGTTAATTCATGTGGATGAATTTTATCAAAATATGATTTAAGCTTCCTGTTAAACATTAGCTCTGCTGGCGACTGTCCGGTTGATGCATGTGGTGTGATGTGTTGGTTAAACAAGAATCGAACAGGCTCTAAATTTATATCGCATTTCGTAGACAGTTTTTTAAAAAACTCTTTAGTTGTTTGTACCATACGCTCAGCCTGTCCGTTTGAGGACGGATGGAATGGAGCACTGCGGATATGTCTTATCAGATTATCGTTCATAAATGACTTAAATAACTCCGAAGTGAAGGCGGTGCCATTGTCAGAAACAATAGAATCAGGTAGGCCGTGTGTTGAAAACAAGGTACGTAATGGCTTGATAGCGGCTTCTGACGATGTTGATTTCACGATAAAAACTTCTAGCCATTTAGAGTAAGAGTCTACTACAATGAAAAATTGTCGGCCCTGAAAAGGGCCTGCGAAGTCAATGTGTAGCCGTGGCCATGGAACTTTGGTCGACTACCACACGTGTACAGGAGCTTGCGAGTTGTTGTGGCGTGTAACTTGGCATGGTGTACAAAGCTTGACACGCGTTCGATGTCAGCGTCTGTTTGGGGCCACCACACGTAGCTCCTCGCTAAGGCTTTCATGCGCACAATTCCAGGGTGGCTTGCATGCAGTGCATCCAGGATTACTTGTCGACCACCCGGAGGTACGATGACGCGATTACCCCATAATAAACATCCTTTTAATGTTGATATCTCAGTGCGACGTACGAAGTAGGGATATAGTTTATTTTCACGAGTTAGAGTATTCGGCCATCCCCTTAACGCCCAGCTTAGCACCATAGATGTATCGGAGTCTTTTGCTGTGAGCGAAGCGACTTGTTTAACGTCGAGCACGGGATGCGTAGTCATTTCTATCATCAACACTTCAGATGGTTCCTCATCTTTTTTTGCGTATGTGTCAACAGGAAAACGGCTAAGAAAATCTGCATTTCCCATTCTGCTCCCAGAGCGATGAATGATTTCAAAGTCGTAAGCGTTGAGAAAGATACACCTTCTAAGCATTTGATTAGAAATGACTGCGGGAATAGGCTTTGTTGAATTAAAAATACCAAGTAGGGGACGATGATCGGTGACAATCGTAAAACGCGTACCGTATAAGTAGTCGTTGAATTTCTTGACACCAGCAATAATTGCTACAGCTTCCCGGTCAATTTGTGCATAATTCCTTTCAGTTTTGTTCAACGTGCGAGAGTAAAAAGCCACTGGTCTTTCAGAACCGTCTTGCATACGATGGCTCAAGACTGCGCCAACTCCAAAAGGCGATGCATTACACACAAGCACAGGAGGCAGCTTCTCGTCGTAGTGGACAAGAACACGATCAGACACGATAAGTTGTTTGAGTTGCTCAAAAACTTCTTGATGATGCGACGTCCACAACCATTTGCAATTTTTGTCGAGCAGGCGATGCAAGGGCTCAGCAATTGTTGCTTTGTGTGGCAAAAAACAGTGGTAGAAATTAAGAAGCCCTAGAAACGCTTGTAGTTGTTTTTTATCGCTTGGTGGTGGTGCGTTTTGAATAGCTTTCAATTTCCCTGGAGCTGGTCGGATACCAAACGAATCCAGCTTAAATCCTAGAAATTCTATCGTTATCTCATTGAATTTACACTTATCTTTATGCAGGCGAAGGCCAGCGTTGTCATATCGAAGAAAAACTTGTTCCAGGCGATGGGCTAACTCTTGCTCAGATTTCCCCATAACTACGATATCATCGAAGTATGGTAGCACTCCAGGAATGTTACGCAGGAGGTTTTCAATAAAATTTTGAAAAATGCCTGGGTGCGGAAGAAATTCCGAATTGTAACCGGTTTACGCGAAAAGCACCTTTGTGTGTTACAATAGTTTGCAGAATTGCAGATTTCTCATCCACGACTAGTTGCTGATATGCTTGCGCTAGATCCAATTTTGCGAACACGCTGCCCCCTTCAATTGATGAGAGTAACACGCTGACAGCCGGAATTTGAAAACATTGTGGTTTAAGTGCCTTATTGAGTGTTGATTTATAATCACCACAAATTCTGATCGAGCCGTCACTCTTGGGAACGGGCACAATTGGCGTTGCCCATTCTGAATATTCAGTTGGTTCTAGTATACCCTGAGATATTAGGCGTTCTATTTCAGCTTCTACAAGGCCACGAGTTGACAATGGTATGCGACGGGGCGGAAGGCGAATCGGCTGTACAGATGGATCGATTTGAAGAGACACGGGCGGTCCGGTACACTTTCCCAGCTCTTTGAAAAAAAGATGATTGAATTTGGTGAGAACGTTTTGTTCGAAGATGTGGTACTGATTTGATAGACCCCCTGGATGCTTATTCCCAGCGGTCCAAACCAGTTGCACCCTAGTACATTAGATCGATTACCATCAGCGACGACAACCGGGAGATCATTCACTAATATGCCGTTGTAGTTAATTTGCACATCCACTATGCCCTTTATTGGAATGCGATTGCCTTGGAAGTCAACGAGCTGTAGTTCACATTTGTATAATTTTGGATTAGCGCCCGCCCACACGCGCTCGAATGTCGATGATGACATAATTGTGTAATTGGACCCAGAATCGACTTCAAATTTGCAGGGTCGTCCATTGATTGTTATGGTAGTGGATTTCTTTAAATCCACGAGTGGTAGAATTTGATTTACCGAGTGTTTTTTTGTGTTCTTTTGTTGCGTTGAATTTGACTTCTTGTGTGAATCTTGTCGATGGGCATTTGAATTGTGGGATGAGCTGGTTGATCGGCAAACGCACTGTAGATGCCCTTTGATTCCACATGAAGAGCATACAGTCTCAAGGTAAGGACATTTGACACGTGCATGTTTTCTTCCACATCCCTGGCATGGCTTCATTGCTGCACTACTGCGATAGGTTGATGGCTTGTGACTACTTTGCTGGTTGTAGTTTTTACCGTTTCGTCTTATGATTTGTTGGACATGATCAGGTTGGCGTATCTCCAATGCATTTTTCGTGGCAGCTTCAGCTGTGGTAGCACGATCAATCACCTTTTGCAGCTGTAAGTCAGACTCAGCGAGCAAACTGCATGGTAGTGCCTCGTCACGTAACCCACAAACCAACCGGTCACGCAGCATACGATCCAGAGCGGTACCAAAACTGCAATCGACCGCCAGCTTCCGTAAAGCAGCAACGTAATCAGCAAAGTTTTCATTGGGTTGCTGGTCGCGCTTGTGAAATTTATAGAACGCAGCGATTTCGGAAGGTTTAGGAGAAAAATGATTAGTCAGCGTACTTTTGATCTCCTTAAGTTTCAATTCACCTACCGGTTTAGGTGCTACCAATGATGTAAGGAGGTCAAAGAGACTCGGTCCGGCCAATGTCAAGAATATTGCTTTTTGACGCTCTCCCTCCTGTACATCATTGGCCATCAAATAGAGTTCGAAGCGTGCATAGTACGATAGCCATCTTTCAGGTTGAGCGATGTCAAACGGCTCCAGATTTCCCACAGATGCCATTGTGCAGAATACTTGATTCTTTATTTCACCTTCTTCTTTCAAAGGCATTCAAAATTTTTCCCACTTCAGGGTATAGAAAAAATCTTTTTNTTTGATCTCCTTAAGTTTCAATTCACCTACCGGTTTAGGTGCTACCAATGATGTAAGGAGGTCAAAGAGACTCGGTCCGGCCAATGTCAAGAATATTGCTTTTTGACGCTCTCCCTCCTGTACATCATTGGCCATCAAATAGAGTTCGAAGCGTGCATAGTACGATAGCCATCTTTCAGGTTGAGCGATGTCAAACGGCTCCAGATTTCCCACAGATGCCATTGTGCAGAATACTTGATTCTTTATTTCACCTTCTTCTTTCAAAGGCATTCAAAATTTTTCCCACTTCAAGGTATAGAAAAAATCTTTTTCAATGAGAATGTACGAAATCAATCCGTTACTCCCGTTAAGAAACAAGTAATACCAAAGTACAGGTAGCGCAGAATGGTGTGATAACAAAAACAATACCACACCCTGATGCCGTTTGCCTTTCCTTATTCACCAATTTATTTGTGAGTTGTTCTTGTTAAGTTCGTGTGCATAGAATCACGCCACAATTGGTAGGCACGTTTAAGAATATATATATATGCGCAAATTTTTCTTTTGTTTTTTTTTGGGACTACGAGCATCCCATTCTCGTCGCCAATATTAAATTTGCACTCAATTCTCTTTATTCAATATTTACATTAACTTATTACCTAATTACAAATGCGCTAATTACAAATGCGCTGTAAGAATATTTAAATGTACAGCGGCTGGCGAATGCCGGCACGGTTCAACCAAGACTGCTGCTACAACTCTCCTTGATCATAACATAGTCATGATCACTCAAACATTCGTTAAGTTGAAAGCTCTTAACAGTTGTGCCATAAGCTTGCATATTTAAGAATATATAACTTTCATTTTCGGGATATAGGTTCTTTGGAGCAGTAGAAATATCATCGGGTACAAATTTTATATAAATTTAACAAATATTGAGCACTTTAAGGCAAAGAATTGTTGAAAAAATTTGCAAATTTTTTTCATTTCCAAAATGCTCGAAAACCGCTCGAATGATTTTGTTTTTGTTTTCTTTAATCAAAAATTCAAGAGTTTTCCTTTCGTTTGGTATATGGGAAGTATTGGTTGATATCTTCTATATATGTTTATTTTATTCAAATAAATGGGCATACATGATTTTCCATACAAAATCACCTCGTCATCATTTTGCAAACACGTGCATATGTTGGAAGTGTGGGAAGGAGACAAAAAGTATGTATGCGTATGTAATGCGGCTTTTGATAAACAGAGGCGCGCTATTTATAACCTAATCGCAGCGTGTGTACATATGTAAATACATACATACGTACATATGTTGATTGCAGTTAATGTGGATCTGTTTCTATTTTTAGTAATCTATGTATGTCTATACATACATATGTACATACATATTATATATGTACATACATATATGAACACATGTATGCATAATACGCGAAGACTTTTCGAAGTGAAACAACATTTAGAAAAAGTCCAATCCAAGAATAAAAGTAAAGGTGAGGACGTACATAGATAAAGAAAAGGATAAAGGCCAAGGTAAAAATAAACACAAAAACAAAGTTGAGTAAAGATAAAGGCAAACATGAAGACCAAGGTAAATTTAAACACTTTACTTATATGTATAAGTGCAAAGGTGAAGGGGAATATGTATATGAAGAATATGATAAACATAAAAATAAAAACAAAGATAAATATAAAGAAAAAGATGCGGATGAGGATACCGATAAAAGTATAGATGAAGATAGAGGAAGAAAGATTAAAATAAAGGTAGTTGTAGAGAAAAGGATATAGATAAAGGCACAGAGGCTCAATCTCGGAACTATTTCGGGATTTTAGGGATTCTCGGGACTTATCGATATAATCGATATTTTGTTGGTTTTTCTTAGTGTGTGATTTCGTTTTTGACTTGGATATGCTCTTAACCATACCACGTATTCTACGTTTAAATATAGCGGCTGTATCTCCGATACAGCCTGCAGACCAAGACGAAGGCGCTGGACTGTTCCTTTTTTCCACTATTTTCATTTTTGTTATGCCAACACAATCAAGCGCAGCTATTCCGCCGCAATTCACTTGATCATGTG